CTCATCCTCGGGTATTTGCATCATAGATTGTTTGCACGAAAACAAATGTGGATCTTATGTAGTGGTATCCTAGTAACACCTGAATTCCATCTTCCTGCAAACGCATAGTGGCATGTAGTGTACACTCGAATATGCCGTGCTACACCAGAAAACACTCACTGGCAGCAGCCAATGGCATCCGCCGGATGTGAGCTGCCAATCATTAAAGCCGGCCCCCTCACCTCATTCCTGTTGCTATGCTGTCTTTGAAACTATGGTTACAGTAAAGGTTCCTGTAGGCAGTGTCTCTCTCTCTTACCGCATGTGTCTGGATGCAGTCGGAACGTTTACTCTGTTAAATGCAGTGTTGAAATGAAATGTAATCTATATGTTGTGGATATTACTTCTTTATTCTGTATTTACATGTTTTATACTGTATGTAGACATTCATTCAAATCTTTTAGTGTCCTTAAGTTCCACATCACAAAAATAGTCTATTGTAAATCTGCAGTTTAGTTAAACAAATGCTTTTAGGACGCTAAACCTCACTATTAGTCACTGGAATAAAATTCGTCTTGTTTTAGCTTGCCATTTAAGAGTGACATACCTCATATTACGGCTGCACAATTAATCAGATTTCTAATCGTGATTACAATTACAGATGCCAAAATTACGTAATCGTTCAAAGCGGCAATTAGTCGTTCAAAATCCACTTATGTTATTATTCTGCATGCTTAAGATGTGTTTTCTTTTCTTTCCACAGGTTATCGTAAGGGTATTTCCATTGTTTTAATTTTAGTATAACATTATAATACCATGCATATTATTTTTACTTTTTAATTTAAAGAAGAAACCAATCCACTGTATAGTTCATATTTGAGGCTTAGTAGAAAAGCAATAAAAGTTTTTCATTTTTTTCAGCGTGTTTATTTTAATCTAAAAATATGGCATGCAGTTGCTTCAAACAATGGTATAAACGTCATTCAATGTAAATTGTGATAATCATAATTAATATTTGCAATTACAATTTAAAAGGAATAATCAACAATTATGATTTTTGTCATAATCGTGCAGCCCTACCTCATATGTGTCCCAACAGACATGTGATCACGTGATGTGATTTTTGGACTTTGAAAAGGAAAGACTTCTGTGTTATTTCTCTCTCTCTCTCTCTCTCTCTCTCTCTCTCAGTTTCAATACTTCCTGCTGTTTTAATGAGCATGTGTGTAGGAGTGAACCCCACACACTTCAGTCACGACTATGAAAATCACACACACACATACACACACACATAGTCCGCCACCCACTAACTCTACTCTCTCTATGCGTATAAATATACACATATAGAGCGCATAATGTGTAATACATACATTTACAGTGAAACAGTTTGATTTCTTATATGTTTGTAACAGATTTTCTGTGTTTTTCTTGTTTTAGGTGTATTATGAAAGGAAGATGAACCTGATTAACTCTTTTCCACGGTGAGTAAACTGTCTGAGAAGAGCTGTAGTGTTCATAGAGATAGAGAAATCCTGATCCAGATACGCGCCACTGAAGCTTATTCATTATTGAAGGTTATTGATCAGATTTTTATATTGAATATATTGAAAGTCAGTGTGAAGTAATTTGACCCTGTTAACTTTATTTATAGATTTTTTTTTATTAGTGTATGTTATTCCAACCAATCTTTTATGTGCCTTCATTCTTGTATGTAAAGGCTAGTTTTAAAACTTGAATTAAAAAATTTCTTAAATATATCAGATTATGGCAAAATAAGAAATAAAATGGGTTGCAAATAGCATGTTGACTTCAAAACATACATTGCAAGTTTTACAGTGTCATAGATTTTTGGATTTTTCATCTGCTGGACAATAAAACGGGTGAAAAAACAAAGATTTACATTGAAGAATAAACCACACCAGTAAGAAACCCCCTAGCAACCACACAACATCCTAGCAACAGTGGAAACACTCAACAGTGGAGACCCACAAACACCTTAGCAACCAAATATCAACAATCTGGCAACCATCCTAATACCCTAGCAACAGCACAGCATCACAATAAAAACCACTCAGAACTCCCTAGCAACCACATAGCAACATTCTGGCAACCATCTTAATACCATAGCAACTACACAGTATCACAATAAAAAACACTCAGAACACCCTAGCAACCACAAAGAATCATTCTTGTAACTATCCGAATACCCAAGCAACCGCATAGCATCACAATAAATATTGTAATGCTATGCAGTTGATAGGGTATTGGTTGCTAGGTGGTTGCTATGCAGTTGCTAAGGTGTTCTGGGTGGTTTTTAACTGTTGCTAGGGTGTTCTGAGTGGTTTTTATTGTGATGTTGTGCTGTTGCTAGGGTACTAGGATGGCATCCTAGTACCATAAAACACAGGTACTAGGATGCCATCCTAAAAAACACAGAACACCTTAACAAAAAATAAAAACCACTTAGAACACCTTAGCAACTGCACAGCAACATCATGGATGCCATCCTAGTACCCTAGCAACAGCACAACATCACAATAAAAACCACTCAGAACACCCTAGCAACAGTTAAAAACCACCCAGAACACCCTAGCAACCACATAGCAACATTCTTGTAACTATCCAAACACCCTAGCAACTGTGTAGCATCAGAATAAATATCACTCAGAACACCTTAATAACAATAAAAACACTCAGAACACCTTAGCAACTGCATATAAACATTCTGACAACCACTGTAATACCTTAGCAACCACACAGCAACATTCTTGTAACTGTCCAAATACCTTAGCTACTGCATAGCAACCACCTAGCAACCAATACCCTACCAACTGCATAGCATTACAATAAAAACAACTCGTAGCAATAAAAAAACACTCAGAACACCTTAGCAACTGCATATAAGCATTCTGGTAACCATCCTAATACCCTAGCAACTACACAGCATCACAATAAAAACCACTCAGAACACCCTAGCAACCACATAGCATCACAATAAATATCACACAGAACACCTTAGCAACTGCATAGCAATTAATACCCTACCAACTGCATAGCATTACAATAAAAACATTCAGAACACCTTAGCAACTGTACAGCAACCACCTAGCAACCACTCACAATAAATATCACTCAGGACACCTTAGCAACTGCATAGCAATTAATATCCTACCAGCTGCATAGCATTACAATAAATACATTCAGAACACCTTAGCAACTGTACAGCAACCACTCACAGCACCCTTGCATTCTGGTGGTGACTTTTGCAACAAGAATCACAACTGAAATTTTCCTCAAGAAATGCACAAATCTAGTTCCTTTTATTTGTTTTTGCTGCCTGTTTTTAGTTTCCAGATCAACTCACTGCAAGCAAACGGCTCAGCTGTGCTGGCCGCATCATATAATTCAGTCGATTCAGTTCAGTCTATGTTCTTTGATCAGCCTTCATTCATATGAATGTCCAAATTGTGCACTCAGGAGGGGCCAGTTTATCAGACAGTGCAATTGAGCATCGCTGTTCTCTTCCGAAAAAGGCGTGCATCTCGCCAAGATGCGTTTTAGAAGCAGGTTGCGTGCTTTCAGGAGTTTAGAAGCGATGCAGCCAGCAGTACGCAGTGCTGTCGAGTGAGAATGGTTTCTCCCATCACCTGTGCTTCAAGTGGTTTGCCCCACTATTCAGCCAGCCTACCCTGAATGAGTCATCCTGCTCTTCCCTGATTGGGCAGTCGGGATCCATCCCGAGGGATTGCCGTGCAGAAAGCTGCCGAGGCCTGACTTCATTCACAGAAACGTCGGTATGCCCGTCTGCCTTTCCATTCACAGCCAGCCTGAATCATTTTTGCCCACCATCCTCTCTTCCTCTCCTCAGCATCTTTTTTCCGCATCTCTGTGACAACAACAAGCAAGGAGCACTTTTAACGCTTTGTCTCAGCGGAGAAGACAATCCCTTCCTCTCTCGCGCTCTCTCTCTGTCTTTTCTTCTTTTTTTTTCAATTTGCAGGCAGGCAGAAAAGCGAGACGCTGGGAGGGACTGCAGTGCGTTAGCCGCAGCAGTACAGGAAGCTTGTGAATGACTGCCGCTTCCCTGTCATGAGCTCTTCTGGACATTTTACATGAATGGCTGTTTTTTTGCTGCCTTAATGTCACGGGCTTCATCCCGTCGGCTGCTTTTTAATGGGGCCGGGAGATCTGACATCACTATTTACAGTTGTATCCCCGCCGAATCTGGATGGCGTTTTAGTGAGATCGAATCTTGACATTGTGTTTGAAAGGGATGTTTAATTATTCAAGAAAGCTCATTGAGGAGTAAAGCTCAGCTTCTTTTGCCTTCTGTAGGGGGGGATATTCGAGTGCTGGCGTGGATGGATTTATGCCGACGTTTCGTAGTACGTAAGGAAGAACAAATGTGACGAACAAAGAGATAAAGCCGTATCGGTCTTGTGGTTTAAATTTGAGCACATTTTAAACTTGCCGTTAACAATGGCGATGCATAAGCGAGGTAGAACCAACCAGATTGATGCGGTTGCGGGCAAAAGGTGAACGCTTTCAAATATTTCATGTCATTTTGGTAGATTATCATTTCTCAATCAACGGCAGGTCATGCAACACACCTTTTCACTAGAGAGCCTTGCTTCTGAATTCAAGTAAAACTGCGATTGCATGTGCGGAAAATTAGCGATCGCCATGCACGGTGACTCAAGTTTCATTCTGTGTGGCGTACATGTGATCCAACAACACGCACGGTACTTTATGCATTGAATTATGTCAGTGGACTGATTTTGATTCTAGTTTATTCTGACTGAGCTCGGATTTCACTACAGTGATCTGTTTATCACATCTTTTCCGTTCTGTTTATCCGAACTGAATCAAAGCGAGAAGCGTTCCTACGGCCAGGGCGAATTTTGAGAATTGATTGGTTCTACCGAGCTGTAAGTGGGAGTTTTTTTGTAATGGAAAGTGCTCTGCAGTGTTGAGTGAGTCTTTTGTTGAGAAGGGTCTCTCTCTCTCTCTCTCGCTCTCTCTCTCTCTCTCTCTCTCTCTCTCCGAGTGAGTCATGCATGTTCAGGGATCTGCCAGGATGCGGGGGGAGAGAGAGACATCTCTTCACTAGAGCTCTGTCTCTCTCTCTCTGCCATCTCTGGCTCTCTATCTCTGTAGAGGAGCGACCTCGCGCTGCTTTTCTCTCTCGTCGTCCTCTGTCTCTATGGATTCCGCGTTTTGTGGTTTATTTTTGGTCCCTGAGCTGCTGCTGCCGCTGCCGCACGGCGTCGGATTTTCCTGACGGCCGCTCGCTCTCTTTCTTCAAACCCTCGAGGACGCTTTCTCAGCTCCAGCATGCTAAAGAAGTGGACGGTCAGCTGGGAGTTGGATGTGTCCGTTCGTGTGTAGGCTGGCACACCGAGGGGAATGCTTCACCGTGCTAAATACAACCGATTCCGGAATGAGTCAGTGACGTCCGTCGATGAGCTTCTGCACGGTCTCTCCATGAACGCCAAGGTCTCGGCCGTCCCGCCATCGCTGCCCGTGGGCGACCCTCCGTATGCCCCGCCAGCCGAGGTCTTGCCGCCCGACCCCGCCGAAGAGTCCGGCACCTTGTGCACCCTCATCAACAAAGTCTCCAACCTCAAATTCGCCAACTCCTCCGGACTGCTGGGCATCAAGGGCCTGCCGTCCGCCGTCAAGGACCTGGCTGTGTCCAAGCTCCAGGGAGGAGCGTCAGGAGGTGGATCCGGCAGCCCGGGCTCGTCTGCCCACCCTGCGACCTCTGGAGCGCCTCACGCCCCGCTGGAGCCCGGCTCGGCCAGCTCGGGGAAGAAGGGCAGGATGGAAGAGTCTCAGCCCGGCGGAGAGGGCTGGGGCCTGGGAGGGACGGGTGCCGCGGGCTGCGGCGGGCTGGTGAATAAGCCTTCTCGTGGATGGCTGCACTCCAGCGAAAAGATTTCCGGGCCTGGAGTGACGTATGTCGTTAAGGTAAGATCCAAATGCTTTCTGTCTTCTGCGTTTCCCTTGTTGTTTTCCATCCATGTGCCGGTACAGAGAGGATTATGTGTACGATTTGGAATAATGCAGGTCGCCAGTGACTCAAAACGGCACCGTTACGTTCACAAGTGACCATAAAAGCACAGAATGTTCCTCCACATACAGTACCATGTTTACATGCCGTCTGTTTCCTCTTGAGTCTTACATGCATGTGGAGGTGGGCGGTATGAGGCGAATCGGATTTTATATTACAGTTAAAAAAATAGGTGGAAATTAATTCATACAGTATGAACTAAATAATCATGTTTGTTTGAATAAATTACCAAATTTAGAACAAGTGAAGATACTTCATCTCATTGGATTTGTTTTCTTTGTTGGAACTTGATAGAAACAAATCAAAAGGATGATTATGCATAACCAGTGTTTAATATTTTATAACACTTGAGTTAAAGACAAAAAAAGGGAAATTAATATCATAAGCACCTGTGATTTAACCAGGGTACTAAAACCATAACCAAACATTACTTGAAATAAAGTATTATACTTAAAAAAAAAAAACTAGTTGCCAAGGAACCACATTTTCATTTATTTTAACTTGATGTACTACAATATCTAAAAATAAAACTGAAATAAAAACCAATATAAACTATATGATAACTAATATAAACTATAAAATAAAAAATAAAAAACTATATAGACACATTAAAAAGAAAATAAAAATGGCAAAACACACACAACTAAATTGCTAAAACTAACTAAAATAAAATAAAAAAAAACAGAAAAATTTAAAAATAAAAACGAATCCGAAATATGAATAGTATCTCAGTGATACTAAAACAAAACATCAGTTAAATTTAATGTGGAAAGCTGCAAGTGTGACATTGATCAAGCTTGTCTCAATCTACATTTTTCATATTCCTCATCGTTAAAATTAAATCACATTTATTCTATAGCGCTTTATACAATACAGATTGTTTCAAAACGGCTTCACATTAATAAACAGGAAAATAATGTTAGAATGTTGTAAAATTGGCTGTAAAGAAGCTCTAAAGAAGATAACAGTATCATTATTCAGTTCAATAACAGTGTTGATGTTGCATGTAAATAAAATGAAACAGTCTTGTACAACCATAGCTTTGCAAAATAGCTTTATTTAATTAATTATATACAGTATAGCATGTTTTTACCATAACACAGCCTTACACGCATGTGTATTTCAGAGACTTTGACTGCCCTTGTAATATAACACAAGTTCAGTTATCCATCTTCTCTATGTACATTGTTATTGTGATATATTCTCTGCTTTCCTTAAATATCACAGACATAGTGGTTCAGTTGTCCGTGCGACCACTTATTTTTTACCTCTGCAGATTTGATCTATTCAAATTAACTGCAAGTTTATCACATCAAAAGGGAAGTGCATGCAAATCGCGTAACCACGGCGACCAGTTACCAGACCAGGGGGATGTTGTTCCGGCTACAGTTCTGTTACTGTATCGTCTCCAGGGATCATGACGTGTGCAGGACAGAGCACCTATTCTTGTCCACATCTATATGCAAAGACAAACATGATAACTTCAACATTCAAAATATCTTGATTCGTGCAAATATGTGCACGTATGCCATGTTTAGCATGCATTTAGCACCTGCTTTCTGTGCATTTGATTTAAATATAAATATATATATATATGTATATATATATATATATATATATCGTTCATTAAGGATTTCCCGAAAACACTTGAAAACTCTGTAGTGCATGTACATTTGTCTTCTATACGTGCATTATACAAATACCAACATCATTGTCTCCTTTTAGGGTCGTTTGCTGACATTTTTGAGATGTTTGTGCTTTAAAGGGGTCATATGACGTTGCTAAAAAGAACATTATTTTGTGTATTTGGTGCAATGCAATGTGTTTATGAGGTTTAAGGTTCAAAAAACACATTATTTTCCACATACTGTACATTATTGTTGCTCCTCTATTTGTGGCATCCAGTGGGGACATAATTACTGATTATAATGACTTATTACTGTCATTTTACACGTTGCACTGCGCCGTATAAACATGAAACCATGTCTGCATTTGTGATCTGAGAAGCGACAAACAACAAGCCCTACTCTACACTGCCCAAAACTTGCGTTTTTTCTTTATGTAAACATTTGGGCGGTGTTATGCAAATCTCCCCACACAGTGACATAGACATGTGGAGGCGTGTTTAAACGAGGCGTTTTAGGAGGGCGTGGACGAGTCTTAAC